ATCTTGCATGTTAGGGATCTGGGGATGTAAAATATCATCTAGGAATGTACCATGAGAGGATCAACCGAGCAACAAACAAGAAGATCACTCTGTCCCTGATGGCTAACCCTTCTCACTTGGAAGCAGTTGATCCTGTTGTGCAAGGGAAAACAAAAGCTGAACAGTTTTATCGAGGGGATACGGCAGGGAAAAAGGTAAAGATTGTTTAATATATTAACTCTTACTGGTAGTTTTTTGTGTTATTTTAAATAAAAATAGCTTACCAGTAGTTTTGTATCACAGTCTTCCTCTCTTCCTCCTTCACAAAGGGGAGATATCACCTGTTGAACTAGATAAGGTTTGGCACAGTACTTCTAGGGTAACTTCAGGAAGTAGGCTTAAAACTTGCTTTCGTTTGCAAACTGAGCAAAGACAGCAGAGTGCTGAGAAGTCTTTGGTTTATTATAAAAATACAGTTCTATTTTAGAAGCACTACAGCAATATGGAGCAAAGAAATCCTGCTGAGAAGCTTAAATTGCAGTTTTGTTTTCTAATATATGTGTGGATATGTGTGTATAATCCTCTCTCTTAGGTTATGTCCATACTATTACATGGGGATGCTGCCTTTGCAGGACAAGGGGTGGTTTATGAGACGTTTCATCTTAGTGACCTGCCATCCTACACCACAAATGGCACTATTCACGTTGTGGTCAACAACCAGGTAACAACTAGAGCATTTTCCAATCAATTTGTCTGCTGAATAGTTGCTCGTCTATTTCTTTTTATTCTTCTTTGTTATTAACTGAGTGCGTTATCCCCTCTGTTTATTAGAATGGTTAGGGTGTTCCTGGAAACAATCATAGTATCTAGCAACTCTGAATTGATAATATTTTATCACCTACATTTATTTCATTCAATTTGTAATACTTAATTGGATTAGGTTTGCTTTGTTTTGTTTTTAAGGGAGCAAAAAGAAGCTGGCTAGCCAAAATGAAAAGCTGATACTACTGCTGTCTACATGACTATTAAATAAAAACCTGAAGCATTCAAAACAAAGTGGAGGGAGATGCCCAAATTATTTTAATGGAAGTTTCTGAAATTTTTAGATTGGCTTCACCACAGACCCCCGTATGGCCCGTTCATCTCCATATCCTACTGATGTTGCTCGTGTGGTCAATGCTCCCATTTTTCATGTGAATGCTGATGACCCTGAAGCAGTGATGTATGTGTGCAGTGTAGCGGCAGAATGGCGAAACACATTCAATAAGGATGTGGTGGTAGACTTGGTAAGTCTTGATTTTCTTAACTTTTCATTCTGTGTATTATGTACTACCCTCTTATTTTTCAGTGGCTTAAAAGACCCAGTCAAGCAATGTATTTTGATTTTTAATGGCCTTTAGATTCTTCATTAAAAAAAAACAAGTAACTAACAGGCACACAAGAATCCATAGATGTTTTTATACCATAAACCTACTAAAGTCTCTGTAAAACTATGAAATTGAAAGATTTCATTTTACTTTTTTCCTTACCAACAGAAACTTTCCCTTTGTAGGTTTGTTACCGTAGGAGAGGGCACAATGAAATGGATGAACCGATGTTCACCCAGCCTTTAATGTACAAGCAGATTCATAAGCAGGTGCCGGTGCTGAAGAAGTATGCTGACAAACTGATTGCAGATGGGACTGTAACACTGCAGGAGTTTGAGGTACACATCAACAGAGTTAAAGGAACTTAAGAAGCTGTCATTAGGAAGACAGAACTGCCACTGTGTGCTCTCTACTTAAAAACCTTTCTTTCATTACTGTAATGTCTTCACCCTTTGACACTTTCTGGTTCAATTTGGTTTGGATTTTAATGCAAAATAGATAGTACTGTTGTTACAAAAAGACTTAAAGTGCTGTGAAGTAGTTAATACATATCGCACAGAAAAAAATTTACTTCAGTTCTGAGTTTGTAAAAGGTGATCAGATGTGAATGTTGGAGATGGAGGCATTTGTCAACTGTTATTCTTCATCTCCAGAATCTTGATTCAGCAGTAAGACGGTATTTGAATGCTCATAGGTATGACTGTAGCTTCATATCGGTAACCTTGGCAGGCTTGTATCCAGCAATAACACAATAAAATCAATTTAACCTTTTTATTTTCTTGCAATAATTCAACTAAGCTCAGAGATAATTTGAAATATTCCAGAAGGATGAAGTGTAGAGTCTGGTGCCTGTATTAAGCTGGTTAGGTCTTTACCTTAATCTTCTTAAAAGTGAATGTATAGAGTGCAGATGCAACAAGGGACCTTCTCAGAAGGTGTGGCTAACTGTGTAGTGACGCAGTGTTACAGATCAACAAAAAAGCAGTTTGTGTAGATGCATTCTGTCGTCCACAAGAATGAGCACAGCCCAGGCAGAACTAGCTATCCTGAATTGTTGTAAGAGTGTGCCAGTAGTGGCATCGGCTTTGGTGACTGGATCCAGGATCCTGGATGTATGTTTTACTATACAGACTGAGCTCAACATTGCTGTTAATTACTTTAAAGATTAGCTAACTCGGTAACTTGAGTGTGGTTTTGGATTGAAACAACATAGATTATGTAGAGGCATTCTGCCTCTACAGAATATGGCTTTGTATCTGTTGCCATTGACAGGTGTGGCCAGCAGATTCTCAGCTAGACTCTCCTAGTCAGATTAGTTTTCTAGGAGGTTATTTTCTAGTCTTTAGTGGCTTCTGAAGCCAGAAGTGTGAGACCTGGACAATGCTGATCTTAGAAGTATGACTGTAATTTATATTTGGTACTTCCGTTCTGCCTCATTCTAGAGCAGTGCTTAAAACTTCAACTCTTGATACCCTCCTCTCTAACACCTGTTCAATAAATGAAATAATTTATTTAGAGTGATATGGGTAAGCATGTTTCTAGAAGGCAATTTGATCCTAGATAATATGAAGTTGTTTGTTTGTATAATTGTAACTAAATTTTCTTCAGGAGTTAAGTAACTTTTTATCATACTGAATGATAGGTGTCATCTGTAAGATACAAGGCTGTTATGTTTATCCATTTTAAAAAGAAAGTTTTTGTTCTACAGGAAGAAATTGCAAAGTATGATAGAATATGTGAAGAAGCCTATACTAGGTCTAAGGATAATAAGATCCTACATATCAAGCACTGGCTTGATTCACCTTGGCCTGGTAAGAAGTGTCCTTTTACTTATTCTAGTGTTAATATTATTGTGCTTTTATTTTCAGTCTATATTCTAGAACTCTTAAATGGTTTTTATCAGACAGTGTTCCTTTAAAATAGATTGTGACCTTTGGTTTGCTCCATTTAATAGTAAATAAAACATTCTGCCAGATCAACTTAAGAGATGCTTTTCTTAAAAAAACATGTGAAGTAAGGTGTGACTTTGAAAAAGATATCTTTTCAGTTTAGCAGAGTATTTTTCCTGTAGTGTTAACTATCTGTGCCTTCACGAAGGAGTATGTCTCATGCTCCCTTTTTTTTTTTCTTTTTTTTGAGGGATCAAGGTGCCATATGCCTTTTATTGGCTGCCTTTGCTCACATAGTTGGACTTCACAGGGAATGAAAGCAGAAACAAAACAGATCGTTGTGTACCTGTGAGATCAAGTTCTGTTGTCATACAGACAATCAAAATGATTGTCTTCCAGTGAAAGGTGAAGAACTAGGTTTAGGCTACTGCTTAGATTGTCTTTGAAGAGTTGTGAGTTTTTCAATAAATTGTAGATAGTGTAAATACCTCTTCATCAGTCCTTGAACATCTCACCAAATCTTTTACTTCCAGGATTCTTTAATGTGGATGGAGAACCCAAGAGCATGTCTTGTCCTCCAACTGGCATTTCAGAAGACCTGCTGACTCACATTGGCAACGTAGCTAGTTCAGTGCCCGTCAAAGACTTCAAAATACATCCAGGTCAGCTGGAGTCTTTGCTTCTCCTAGTGGCTACATTTCTTGCTCAGATTTTATATTTATACACATGACTTGCTGTTCTGCCATTTCCCAAAGAGGAAATTGCCTGTGACTTTTATTTTAACTCTTCCACCCTATGGGCAAGGAGAATGTGACAGTTAAGTTCCTGCTGTTTGTTCTCAGCATAGTGTTCACTATCATGCCACTTCTGTTTCCCTACCTCATTAAAACAGATTTTCCTCTGAGGGAGGTAAAAGTCTCTTTGTAATGTTAAATTAATACCTCCTTCATTTGTCAAGTCCTTGTGGAAAATGCTGCCTCTATGCAGCACATTTGTGGGACTTGCTGGGATGTAAGGCACCCATCTCAGGAAGCACTCTTAATGTGGGGTTTTTTTAATACTAAAACTAGTGGTAATTTGAGGTCCCCTTAAGACACTTTTCTTGTAGTTAGAGAACTTTCTACTCAGGAATATAGCTTGGTCTTTTCAGACCTGGCACCATTGTTGATATACTATGAGCCTAATTTTAGTACAGCTGAATGGACTCTGTGTGGGCAAATTCAGGTTTTCTTTCAACTTACCGTTTAGTGTTGATGATAGTGCAAATCTAGCGTTTTCTCAAAAAGTCTTAGCTTTTGATCTGAACAGTTTCAGTTCTGAATTTGGCTTCTTTTACAGTAAGAAGTTAAATGTACCTGTCTCACTGGGAAGCCCTGACACTCTGGCAAAGTTCCGAGTTAATTGTTTTACTCCTTGGTCAGGTTGAAGTCTAGCAGCTTTACAGCGAGCAATAACATGTTCAGTCCGTGGGGAAAGATGGAGACACTTTGTTTAGGCATCTTTTTTCTTTTGTTGACTTGTAGGGAATGTATTGAGGATCAGGAGAAAGAGCGCTTTTTCTGTGTAAAATCTCTAGCTAATCTTTCTTCTCCAGAGTCATCCATCAAGGAATAAAGTGTATCTGCTGTAGATGTTCTATGTGTTTGTGTTCCTCTGGGACAATTAAACACTGTTACAAGTAATGATGATAGGGCATTCCTAGTTATCAATTGCAAGCTTGTTGAGCAGACACAATTAGTTGAGGAACTTTAAAACTCTTCTACACATTTGTGCACTTTGTTGTGACACTGATAAATTTGAAATTAATATTAAATTTTATTGGCTGACTATAGACATTCTAATTAAAAAAGTAAGGTGGTCTCCCTTTAGTAACTTGATTAACCATTGACGCTAAGTAACACTTGCCAGTATATAAGATAGATTTATGGTTCAAAGCAAACTTTCGCCTGCTAGGTTGTTTTATGCAGTTTGAAAGGCCATGAGAGAGAGAATTTCGGGAGAATTAGAAGGGGAAGAGCGCCTTTGAAGTATTTTGTCCTTCCACTGAAACTGAAAATGAACCGCTTAATATCTCAGTCTTTCATGAAACAATTGGAAGATTATTTTGTTTTATCAAATGTTTAGTATATTCTAAAGAGAAAATTTTCAAGACTTCATTTATTTAGAATGCAACAATTTCAAGGAGAGAATAGTTTTATGTAGAAAGATTTTTGTAAAAATGGCAAAGTAACAAAGGGAAATATGGGAAAATAACAAGTAGGACAGCTTACGGAAAGTATCAGTGCAGATGTGAAAATAAGATAGTGTCCAGTGACACTGAATACACTAGGCTTATAGCCTCAAAGCTGGAAGCACCTGTGTGCAGCTTTGAAGTTTTATTCCCTTTAAGAGTCACAGTATTGTAACTTGTGCTTTGGCTTACCAAGTTATAAAATCTTCACTGTAAAAAACCAGCTATTGGTTATCAACTGAAAATCCGTTGGTAGCTGCTACAATTTCCTATTTATATGATATTCATAGTATTGATTAATCTGGCCTGTTTCACTTTGTGTTATCTCCAGAAGTCCGATATAACAAATGCCAAGAAAAAATGAGAGAGAGAAAGAGAGAAGAAAAAAATCACAAACCCAACAGCTGATATTTTCAGTCTCCTATAAAACACTAAATGGACTTAGAGATGTGAAAATAAATCTTTAGGAAAAACTATTTCACTGTAAGTCCTTTTAATTGTCCCCAGTTTCTGACGGAACTAATCTTCTTTTCTTCTAAAATAAGGTATGAATGTTATGCAACCCTTTGCCTGGGAAACAAGTTATTTTACTTTGCTAGCAGTTCAGTTCTGGAAGAACAATTTGTAGACCCTATTAGGATCTGTGTTGAACTTAGCCCGTGAGGAAGGAGAATGGTGAATGTAATGTGAATATAAAATATCTCTGAAGTAGGTCCATTGATTTCTGATCTTTATTCCAATCTAGGACTCTCTCGGATTTTGAGAGCCCGCTTGGAAATGACTAAGAACAGGGTTGTTGACTGGGCCTTAGCAGAATACATGGCTTTTGGCTCTTTTCTGAAAGAAGGGATCCATGTCCGACTAAGTGGACAGGATGTGGAGAGGGGTACTTTTAGGTAAGTACTGAGATAACTATTAAATGCCATCCCATAAAGAAACACCTTGGCATTTTTTAAACAGTATGGCCTTCTCTGGGAAAGGGGAAGTTGAGGCTATTCAGCATCAATCTGAATGTTATAGATTCTGGTAGTCAGGAATAAGCAAATCTCCTGTGTCTCTGTAAACAGCATTTAAAAAGAATTGTATTTAAGGCAGAACAAATGTTCTTAGATATTTTCTTCATTCTCTTGCTGAAAAGCAGAAATGATATTTTTTTTCTTCTTTTTAACTAAAAATTCAGCTGCAATCCATCTAATTGCTGAGAACTAAAAGAAGTGTATTTGCTGCTGCAGATTCTGAACTCTTTTAAACACCATTCCAGTGGTGGCTGCTTGGAACTTGGGTATCCTGCGAACAAACATGTTGCCAGTTGGCAAGGCTTTTTTAAGTGAAATAAGGTCCTTTGTACTGAGACTTTTAATGACTATGGAGCATGAATGAACACAGAATCTGATCACTCGGTAAAATATATACAGTTCTGCTGCCTTACCTGATCCTCTATGGAGTAAAATGTTAATGATGTATTTAATTGAAGCCTTTGATGCGAAGCCCGTTGCTGGGGGTGAATGAACTAGCAGCTGCACTGCGCTTCATTGTGAATGCTTGCAGAAAAGAGAGATAAATCTTGGTGCCTGTCTCCTCTGGTACAGTGCTCTGTTTCTGTGCTGAGCTTCGTTTGGTGTCCAGTCTTTTGGGCTTTCTTCTTTTTGCTCCCATTCTGATGGCAGTTTAACAAAATCCTTTGGACAAGACCTGAAAACAAAACTGAAAATTGGGAGATTCCCCACCCCCAATTTCTCATACTCCTTGATTTCAGTACCATGGTCTTGTAAAGCAGTGAGCATCTCTAGGGAGAGGAATATACATGTTCATTGTTTAGCAATGTACCCACCTATTTCAGGTGAGTGCTTAGTCATGCCTAGCACATGCCTATAGACTTGTCTTGAGAATAAGAATTCTCTGTATTCCCAGTCCATTCCAGAACTATTGTCCAGATTTTCTTGATGTTTAAGATAAAAATAATTGTTATGCTTACAGCAATATGGGGTGGGGGGCAAGTGTTCAAATAAAAAGCTGTTCAGACTGGTGAAGATCAGCTTAAGGATTCCTGTGCCATCTGGATTTTATTATTCAGCTTTTTAGAAAAGGAGTAAAAAGACATTCAAAGAAATTCTTGTGAAGTTCAGGACTGAAGGTGGTACTGCAGTTGTTTGATTTCTAGTAACCTGGTTCTGCTTTACTGCTGGGTTTGAGTTTACCTGATGGGTAGTGGGATCTACAAAATACTAGCCTATGGTGTGATTATGAATTTTTGTTATGAATGTGATAGGGCAGTTGGACAATAAAGAGTGAGGTCAAAAAAAATGCCTCGGACCTGAGGAAGTCAGAGAATATTCAACTACTCTCTTAAACAGAAGAGAACACTGTAGAAATGTGTAAGACAGCCTTATTATACTGTATTCAGGCTCATTTCATCAGAGGAATAGGTAGAAAAGTTAACTTGTGGTACAAGCACATCTAAGAGATACTACAGTTCTCAGTAAAGCTGCTCTTTTTTAGCTGTGTTTGAGTTTTTGTCATTTAGAATGAAGGTGAGCAACTTCTGTAACAACTGAAGACATTTGCAAATGCTGATGTATTTTTGTTGGAAAAAACACATTGCAAACACATAGAAAGTATATGTCGTTTTATCCTCTCTGTACTGAGAAGGCCCTTCTTCACCTCTGAAAATCCTTGAAGTACAGAGTATCTCAAATCTCTGGGACTAATTGAAGAGAGAGTATCAATTAGAATTTGGGAAGAACTGAAGATACAGCCTTGCCATAATGAAAACAATGTGATGGGAGTGCTTTCACTATTTTGGAGCTTCTGAAGTGCTGTCTAGAAGATAGTACTTTCTGTCAGTATTCTGTGTGATGGCTTGTCTTCTTCTGTTTCAATACTCAACGTTATCAGTAGACAGAAACTAGATAAAGTTGCAGGTAGAAGGACTGGGCCCCTTCTCATCTTGGAGACATGCTCTGGAGAAGGGAAGGGAAGGGGGAGAGAGAGAATTGATTCTATACTGGTTTGATGTCAGTAAACCTGACAATCGCGCAACAGCAATATCTGACTTGTATGTCTGTATATTTCTGGCTGTCCATCTATGCTCACTGTAATCACCTTTTGCTGGGGAGACACAAAACTTTGTGCTCAAGAAGCTTATCACCTAGCTAGGCCTTCTATCTTTGGCTGAATGACAAAAATAAAATGACAGTGGCAAAAATTATTTTTGGCTAACAACTGTTTGGTGTGTGTATTTTCCCCTTTCTTTCTCCTTCCCTCCCTGTGCTGTTCTTCAAAGATTCTGTCTTTTCCTGGCCCTTATATTGTTGACTTCTAAATAAATTTCAGAGCTCTTTTGCCAGCATTCATTGTAGCAAAGGGAAGTACAAAAAGATTCTGTCTTCAGTTCAGTGTTGGCAGCTATACAACACGCAGTAGTTGTTACCAGTATAACTGTCCTTATGTTAGCAGTTGTAAAGCTGGACATATTGGTGTGATTCACTCAGTCTGTTCAGAGAGTTAATGGATTACAGTAATTACTTCAGTCACCTCTGTTTTGGTAGTGTTCCTGGGTGCCCCATTCTAATGCTGATTAATGGTGTTCTAGAGAACTGTAAATGGTGCATGTGAGTGGAAATAGCAGGAAAGAGGATACAACTGCTTCAAGTCTTGGTGCTGAGATTAGATTAGATTAAATTTTTGCATAAAAGACAAACAACAGTTGTTTTAAGGAAAAGATTAATAGAATTTGCCAGGGAGGCAGAGTGAAATGTTTTTAGTAACAATTTTGTTCTTCTGTTGGTTTGGGTTTTTTGGGTTTTTTTTTTGTGGTTTTTTTTTTTTTCACTTTAGTCAGTCTATTTTATAGCAACAACTTCCCCAGCCCTTCCCCTCTCCCTTCCAGTTCTTCTAGTGATGAGGTGTTTTCAGTTTCCGTGAGTGCTTGAGAATAAAACTGGATAGTCAGTGAAGTCCTTATAGTGCAGCAATTGTGTTTAGACATGTGATTGTATCACTAGGTTTCAACCAAACCAAGATGCTGTGTAAAGCAAAGATAACTGCGTTGCTTGCGTGCTTTCCAGAAGATAACTTTGATGGTTTATCTTTGCAAACGGCTCTGTTAAAGCCCAAATTTTAGTCTCAGCTAATAAATTTCTTTCAACAACTCTGCAGCCATCGTCATCATGTGCTTCATGATCAAGAAGTTGACAAGAGAACGTGTGTTCCCATGAATCACCTCTGGGAGCAGCAGGCGCCCTACACTGTGTGCAACAGCTCCCTTTCCGAATATGGTGTCTTAGGTATGTCTCGGGGTGACTATCTGACAGGTCTGCTTCTGTTTTAATAGGTCTCAAACAAGATGTAGGAAATAATGACTGCTAATTAAGAGGAATTTTATTCAGATTTTGCTTTAACGTGATTAAGCTTCTGGCTACAAAGTTTTACTTTGTTACTTGAGTTTGCGAAGCCTCAAAACAAATGCAAAAATGCTTCTGCTAGTGGCATTTAATAATAAACAAACTCTGCCTTTGTTGTGTTTTGACATTATCACATTCATAATAGTTTTGTGTCAGGTGGGAGCCAGGAGTTGCAGAACAGGGGCCTAAAAGCCAATCAAAATGCCCAAAATTATTTTCCCCCACTCCCTGAAAAAAGTAGTTCTATCAAGAAATTCAATAAATTTACCCTGTTCATTGTAAGATTTGTCCCTTACTGTCTTCTTACCTTGAAAGGTTTTTAAAAAAATCATTGTGATGTAAACTTTAAGCCAAACTCTGTTTTTTCCTACAGTGTGCTATGATGGGTCTTGGTTTTAATGTATATTTTAGTTCTAACATTTTAGAATACATTAAAAATTAGAGGGGAAATCTTCAACTGTATGCTTGTATGTGTGGGTTTTGTTAATTTTTTTTTTATTCTCTTTAATTTTTGAATGTGTTGCCTGTGATATTGGGCATATGAATTTGCAGGTTTCAGTGTGCTTGCAGTGCAAAACTTTCTGCACTCTTCATATGGTACACCTATTTGTTTAGGCTGCTTAGAACCTGCTTGTACTTCAAAACTATAAACTGGGAGACTTAAGTAGCTTTTGGTGGAAAGACCACAGAATATGCTAGTATTGATCTCATTAGTATTCAACAGGAAATTACACAGTAATGAGAGAAAATGAATTTCAGAGAATAACAGCTGTACAAGGAGCAGAGCTCAACAAGAAAAAGAATGTGGAAAAAAGCTGTAAAACAGTTTTATATGAAACGGATATTACAGCTCTCCCTCAAGTTCTGGCACCTCTTAAACAAGCATCAGTGGCTCAGTGTCCAGATGAATGCCAGTGAGGAGCGGTGTCCCTCAGGCGTCTGTGCTTGCACCGATGCTGTTTATTATCCTCATCAATGACATAGACAGTGGAATCTTGGGCACCCTCAGCAAGTTTGCCAAGCTGAGTGGTGTGGTTGACACGCCTGAGGGACGACCATCCAGAGGGACTTGGACAAGCTTGAGAGGTGGGCCCATGAGAACCTCATGAGGTTTAACAAGGCCAAGTGCAAGGTCCTGCACCTGGGTCGGGGCAACCCCCAGCATCAGTACAGGCTGGGGGATGATGTGATTGAGAGCAGCCCTGCGGAGAAGGACTTAGGGGTGCTGGTGGATGACAGGCTCACAGCTCAGAAGACCAACCCCATCCTGGGCTGCATCAAGAGAATTGTGGCCAGCAGGTCGAGGGAGGTAATTCTGCCCATCTACTCCACTCTGGTGAGACCCCACCTGGAGTATTGCATCCACCTCTGGAGCCCTCAGCACAGGAAAGACATGGACCTGTTGGAGAAGGTCCAGAGGAGGGCAACGAAAATGATCCGAGGGCTGGAGCACCTCTCCTGTGAAGACAGGCTGAGAGAGTTGGGGTTGTTCAGCCTGGAGAAGAGAAGGCTTTGAGGTGACCTCATTTGCGGTCTTCCGATACCTGAAGGGGACCTGTATGAGAGGTGGGGACAGACTTTTAGCAGGGTCTGCTGTGACAGAACAAGGGGTAATGGTTTTAAACTAAAAGAGGGTAGATTTAGATTTGACATAAGGAAAAAATTTTTTACAATGAAGGTGGTGAAGCACTGGCACAGGTTGCCCAGAGAGGTGGTGGAAGCCCCATCGCTGGAGGCATTCAAGGTCAGGCTGGATGGGGCTCTGAGCAACCTTACCTAGTTGGAGATGTCCCTGCTCACCGCAGGGGGGGTTGGACTAGATGACCTCTAAAGGTCCCTTCCAGCCCAAATGATTCTATGATTGTATGATCCCCACTTTTTACAATTTTGGGAGTCAGTTGAAAGTATCCATCTGTTGTGGTTGATCTTGGCAATGCTGGAACATGTACCTAATGCTTTCTCGAAAGGGAAGGAACTGTCAACAAAATCAGGGACACTTTGTAATACAGATATAAAAATCCATCCTAACCTTATCTGAACTGTTATTCTGAATGTGCTATTTCAAGAAAACAAATTCTTGTTAGTGATAGCATTAGTCATAGTGAATTATATTTTTGGTACTGGACAGACGTTTTACCTTCAGCCACAAGAATGGATAACCTCACTCTGACATGATGAGGGTGGCAAGTGGAATGTGGAGCACAAAACAAATAGATCTAATAATTTATCAAAAATGTTATTGATTCTATGGATAAATAATGAAATATTGTTTCATATCCATTTCAGAGCTAGCATGAAGGAAAAAAAATGAAACATTGTAGTAGATAAAGATGGTAATTAATAGCTGCTTGCTTCAAAGTTCCAGAAATATTTGATCATGCAGTCATTTTTACATATGCTACATATTACCTGTTGCTAATAATATTAAAATTAAAGTGGGATAAAACTGTATAGTTGGAGCATGGGCTGAAGAGCTGAGATTTTTTTTAAGGTATTTTTGTTAGGTCTGTGGCAGAATTGACATGAACAGAAGCTTGTATCTCTATAAGCTAATATAGTAACGTATAAATGTAAACTCTAAATAGGGGAGTGCAAGAGAGGATGTGTATAAATGTAAGAAAAATAATTGGCATAGATAAAAAGCAAGAATTTAATGTCAGAATGATTGATTGTTTGTTTCCAATTGGCTGTTGTTTCTCCCAATTTGGTATGGGGTTTCTTCATTTGAGCCTGTTTACAATGTTGCTGCAAATTTTATGGGTAAATGGGTCATAGGTTTCTCGGTTTGGGGTTTTTTTTACATTCGAATAAGGTATCCAAATGTGAAAGTGACAAATGTCTGGATATGGTTGAAATCTGATTTTATTCCAAAAGTTACACCTCAGTAGGTCTGGGAAGCCTAGTGTTGATACGGTGTGAAGGGCAATTCTTATTGCCACAATTCTGTTCTTTAAAAAATCAACTAAGTGGGCTCTCTTTCTTTCTATTTCTTGATCTCATCCTGCTCCCTATTGCTCTTCCACCTTCCCCAGCAAGAGAAACGTGAAAGTTGATTTAATAACTTTCATTGAATACAAGCAATAGGGGAAAATATGGGTTCGTTCATACACCAAAACCAAGAGTACCATTTCTGTGCAATTCTGCTTCAGCAGATGTCATGACAGGTTCTTCAAAACTAATAATATTGATGTTTTTAATTGTTAAGAACTTTAAATCCCTTATGTCTGAGAAGTTTTCTGACAGTAAAGGAGATTAAATTGATATAAATAGTTGATAAGTGATGTGTTTGTGTTTGGTTTTGTGTGTTTTGGTTTTTTTCTAAAAATGCCATGTTTCTATGTTGAAGTGATTTTATAATTAAGATTCCTCTCCCTTGCTAGCTTTTACATACTGAGCTTTTCCAACATGTTTACTCTTGTGTATTGTATCCATAGAGAGACAGCGTTGAGATAAGCAGCAGTGTGTGATCATGTCTCTTCTAGTTAAGCATCTCAGTCAGGAGCTATTAGAGTTGTTAACTGTTTGGCTGATAATGTCACCAGATCTCCTTAGTACATGAAAGAATAAGTGAACGCTTGCAGTTCAAGGAGTTGATTCCTCAGGAGTAGCAAAAAACCCTCAACATTTTATTTTCTCTAACTGCTATTTCTATTATATAAGCCTGTTACAAGGAACAGTTTGGGATTAGTGCCCTAAAGTATTTGGTGAGGGATAGGAGGGTTGTGAGAGGATATAAAGAAAAAAAAGATGTTAAGAATTTAATTTGTGACTATGTTAATATGCAGCACCTTGGAGGCATTTTGGGAATTCCCTTAGTTTCTGTGAATTACAGCTAAGTAAAAACAGATTGAACAGCCCAGCATGATAAAACTACAGATTATTTCCTTGGCAGGTACCTAAGCCAAGAGCTGACATCTGTTCAGAGCTGTGAGCTTTGCACGAAGGTATTATTGAGATGGTTGGGAACACCTGAGGTGTAACTGCTCCATTAAAATGACACTCTGACAAGATTGATTTCACTTAAAAATAAAACAAAGGCAGTCCTTGTTAACTTGTAGTTCAAACAATTGCTTATGGTTTGTATACAGGAAACTGGAGTGTGTGTACTGGGTACGCAGTGCCCAGAGTATAAATCAGAGTATTTAACAACCTCTGATAATTTTATTTGACATCCTGTGTCTACTATTTTTAGCTATGTCCAGATTACTACAATTTAGTTGTGGATCCACTTGTCTAGCTGTAAATTTTCCCTTTTACTGAAACTGAATGTCTGGGAGTGTAAGTAAGTGACGACTGTGTGAAGTCATTTAAGCAAAAAAAAGTTTGTCTGAGTTTATTTGCCAATTGAGAGAGAGGAGGAAGAAAAAGTAACTTATAGGCACTCCATGCTACCTCTTCAGTATTTTTTTAAGCACTTGAAAGGATCTCCTGTCTTTCTTTACTACCCTCAGAGTAACTTGTGTAGTGTGGATTCTCCATCCGGGAGGTGTGATTCTCTCTGTCGGGTTCGGTGCTGGCTTTGAGAGGCGTTGGGCTGTAGCATCCTGTACTGGGAACTTCAGGGAACATCCAGGCAAGATAGATTTGGAACTAGCGCGTGGTTCAGCAAACTCCTGAACCATGAGACCTGGAGTACAACTTTTTCAATAGGGAAGGTTATATTTAAAGCGAAAGACAAAGGGAAGAGGACAGGCATTGATTTAAAATTTTTTTTTGTAATACGCTCCTAGGATGAAATATGTAGTATTACTACTCATTCAGAACAATTTTTAAGGTTAGGAGTAGCAAATACAATTACCTGTCAGAAATTGTGTTAGGAAGTAGGACAGACTGTAGTAACCAAGGACCGGGTTCTCAATGGCATCTGCATGGAGCTCTAAGAA